GCTTTCATATTTCACCTGTGTATTCCTTAATGTGATAAGACCTTTGAGTACCAACTTTTTTACTCCGTGACCTTGAACTTGACATTTGACCTGCTTTGAAAAACTTAAACCTTGGTGGCATGCAGTGACATATATCAGTGATTCACAAACACATTTTGTTAAATATTTTATTTTCTGTGATATTAAGATATTTTAACAGTTTTATAATGTTTATCATTGCTTATAGAATGCTTTAAAGGGAAGACACAAAATGATGAACTTTGTGAAAGTTACGACACTGCTCATGTGGCTGTGAGATTTTTATCCCCCCTTCGAAGAAGGGAGAGCATATTGCTTTGCTGCTGTCTGTCGGTATGTCGGTCCATTTAGTTTCCGTTCATTCACTTCACAACCGTTGCACATACCGAAATGAAATTTGGTATACAGGTTTATCAGGTGAATATCTAGGTCAAGTTCTGTTTTGGGCACTATTTTTGACAGATCGAGTTATGCCCCTTGGACTTAGAAAAATTCCACTTATTTGCAGTTTCCGTTCATTTTCTTTGCAGAGGTTGCACATATTGAAATGAAATTTAGTATACAGGTTTTTCAGCTGAATATCTAAGTCAAGTTTTGTTTTGGGTAGGAGCGCACCATTTTAGACAGAGTTATGCCCTTTAGGACTTAGAAACAAATCCAATGGGGGGGGGGGCATAAGTGTTTTACAAACATCTCTTGTTTTTAATTTCTTATTCATTTCTAGATGCCTTTTATCTCAGTAATTTGTATGGATACATTTTTAAGTTCTTTGCTTATAAACAATTAAACATGTACAATTTACCATTGATGAATTGCATAATTAATCAATAATATCAGTTTTGAATTATATGCAAATTTCGACACAAAGTGTATTACATCATTTTGTTATATGTACATTTATTTATATTTTTTTCATTGGTGTGGGTATTATTGTTTTCAATTGAAACAAAATACTGGATGTTTTTTTACTGTTTAATTTTGTAAAAATATGATTAAATGAATTTCTATAAAACATTGTACTTAAAACATTTATTTAGTACTTGCATTTCAATTGTAAACTTTTTGGGCAATATGTCTATAAATTGCTCGGTCAACTGGTCATAAAGAATTCCATGCAATTAATACATGAGGTCAAACCGTCAATCTATTTATTAATACATGTATTGTATGTCAATCCTATTAAACATGCATATAAATCTGTATTTATTGAATTTCTTTTATTTATCGTCCAAACAAAATTAAATTTGTGTCGGAAGCAATTTGAAAGTGCGGATATTTGGGGGGGGGGGTAGTTTGGACTTCAGTACCAAAATTTTTTTTTCCAAACATCACCACTTTCCCCATTTCTGACCTATACTGCGACATGTCTGTGGAAAGTGGGGGGGGGGGCTAATCCTACCCAGCAATGTTCAATGTCTATACTAAGTATATATTAGGGGATGCCCAGGGTATTGCCCCCACTCTTTTCCAATTTTATACCCCGTGCTTGAAAAGTGGGAGGGTATGTAGTGATTGGGATGTACGTCCGTCTGTCTGTAAGTCTGCAACACTGTGGGCTAATTATCTTTATCATGCACTACATATATGCAGGGACGTAGCAACAAGGGGGGCCAGGGGGGCCTGGCACCCACACTTTTTTCCCCAACATTACCTTTACTATAGTAAATGTTCATTAAAAGGATGGTTGGCCCCCCCACTATATACCATAGTATAGTGAAATCAAGGATTGTAGGGAAAAAATTGGAAGTGATAGTAAGTTAATTCCGAAAAAGTTGGCCACTACCCCCCCCCCCCTCCCCACGAAATAGGATTTTCGAGTTTGGGTTAATTCCTTTTTTTTTTGCTTGCCAACTTTTTCAGGTAAGTTAAAAAAAATTTTCTCTGGTTGGCCCCCCCACTTTCAAAAACGATGCTACGTGCCTGATATGTTCTAATAATATTGTTGTTCCATAAAACTTAACTATTATATCAGAATAATGGGCAGAAGGGGTGTGTAAAACTTTTAAAACTATGTCAGATAAGTGGACAGAAGGGTCTAAACACTGAACTATGTCAGCATATTAGGTGTCATAATGAACTGTGACAGAAAACTGGACAGACGGGTCTAAACACTGAACTACTGGTATGTCAGAGTAGTCAGTAGAAGTGTCAAAAGTAACTATGTCAGAGTAGTGAGCAGAAAGAGAAAGGCTTAATTGGTCATATTATTATCATTATTTATTTAGCCCAAGCTAAAATCATTACACTGAACTTATTTTATTGATCTACACTGTGAGCACAGAGCTCACTCATAAAATGATACCCCCGCCTCCTTATTACATTGGAAAAGTCCATGTGTTGTTTTGGGAGACCCAAACTTTCAGTGTCGAATCAAAAAGTAAATTGGGAGATGCACAATGGCATTAAGATTCTGAGAAAGTCATTTAATTTCTTTCAGTGGTACATTGTATAAGAGGAGATACAAGGGTACCCCAAAGCATAATAGGACATACATATGGATAACCCTATCTATATGACCTCTTACTTTTCAAGCAAAGGGGGGGGGGTAAAAATATGAATACTGCAAAAGTATTTTGATAGCCCTGTTACCTATCAAATTGCTCATTTCTTTCCAGGATTCTCTAACACTAGATTGATTGTATGTTTTTAAAACCTCTCTTGAGAATTCTTCACTCATATGGAGACACAGCCACTTGCCGGTGGAGAGCAGCAAATTTTGTCCTTTACTCGGCACTCAACCCATTGTGTAGTCAGGGATCTTTTTCATTCCAGCACTTACTGCTACACAGGACCTCAGTTTATACAATCTCATCTCCACGTCCCACATTGGGTTTCAAACCCTAACTATGATCAAGGAGTAAGGATCAACTCCTTACTCCGTGACTTTAGAGAAGATGCTCTAACCACTGCACCACACAGCTGACTCTAACACTTACAACACCTTATCTTCTCCTTCTTCAATGAATAAAATGTATGTAAAACAGTTTGTTGCATTTTGCCATCTTTGTCACATTTAATAATTTGTGTTTCAAAAGTATTACCAACAATTGCAAATAATTTTATCAGACAAAAAAATATAAAGATCAGAAATAAACTAACTATTTAATGGGGGATAATCTACATTTTCCACTTGATAAATTAATAGAAAAGTAGAATGAGATTAGTGGCAAAAAAACTTTCTCTGAATGTGTTGATATCCTCAATTAAAAATATGCATGGACAAAAAAGTATATTTACTATAGTATTCTCATAAAATTGATTATATTACATACTAATTAAGTTGAATTTAATTTGACAAAATCTAAGAGGAATGCAAAAACATGTTTTAGTTAATGTTGCCCTTCTTAACAATATACAGTACATATAATAAATGTGTCTTATTGAAAATCTTTATTAGAAATTATGAAAGAAAAAAAATTAAACATTGCATGATGTTATCACTATAAATAGTTACATTATGTTTCAAACATTAATATATATTTGTTGTTTTTGAGCTCTACAAATTACACAAGCAGTAAATGTATCACAAACAGTGGCCTGCTGAAGTAGTCTCCCTTTAATAAGATATCTGACACATTATTATTCACACACATTTTATAATTCTCAGAATATTAACTTTTTAAGTGCATTAATTGGTCCATCACTGTTGAATATAATGTAGAACATTTCCACTTCTGTTTCTCACAATTTTTTTTTTTTTTTTGCAATTTTGAGTCCATCACTGCAGTTCGCCAAGAATATCCATTATTGATAAATCCAAGTTCATCACTGCAGTTAGCCTAGAATATCCACTATCAATCCAAATTTGTTTGCTAGTCTGTTTCCATCACTGTAGTTATCCCATTATATCCAAGTTTGTTTGCTAGTTTGTGTCCATCACTTCAGTGATCCAAGAATATATCCACCATTATTAATTAATCCAAGTTTGTTTGCTAGTCTGTGTCCTTCACTGTAGTTATCCAAGAATATCCACCATTATTAATCAATCTATCAATGTGAAAGTCATTCATCCATGGAAAAATGGCTCCTCTTCCCAAAGGTTGGCCTATGTCGGAACGCCCAAAGTTAGATAATGGACAAAAGCTAAAAGAAAATGAAATATTTAAATATAGTTTATATAAAAAAGCCTTGTTTTGATTCGCACATATACATACTCAAATCAAACATGAAATATATACAGTTCAGATTTTATTAAATCTTTTGTCTGCATTGGAGTAATTTTTTTTTCACATGACTCACTTGCAAAACACCTACTCTAGAGGTCATGATTTGAACAGATTTAAATCTGCAATATATGATGTTGTGTACATATTAATATGAATTGATCATGACTTTGCTGTTCTTCAGAGAAACTTTTTTTCTAGATGTATTCTTCCCAGGTATATGAAATTTTAGTTGCGGCCTCCCCACTCACCTATCCCTTAGTTATGATTTGATCAAACTTCAATGTAAACTGTGGAATGAATCCTTCACATAAGTTAGATTGGCTATTTCATTGCACAAGACCTTTAAGACAACTAAAAGTTAATGAAATTACATGATGTCTATTATTGCAAAAATTGTCTATTAGCTTAATTATCTTTCATATCCTAGTGCATCAAAATTTATTTTTGTACCTAATTATAAGGGATGAAAAATTGGGGATAACTCTTCTAGCATAATACAGGAACCACCAGGCCTGAAGGGCATAAAACTTAGATGAGCTCACTTTTGATCTCAGTCTCACTTTTCCACTAAATATTCCATTGGTAAAAGTGAGACCGAGATCAAAAGTGATTTCGTTTAAGTTTTATGGCCCACAGGTCATGAGCTGAAGCAGGGAGATGAAGATTCTACAACCCTGGCTAAGTCAGAGGTCCAGCCAGTAGACACCAACATGGAATCAGTGTCAGATGACTGGAATTCAAAATTATACAAAGTACTTCACCAAGAAAAGATGGCTAAATTGTGGAACAATGCATTTAAAGAACACTCACACATAAGTTTCCAGACTGTGATGGTCCACTGGACTGGTATCGGCATGGAGAGGAAAAAAGAGGCCTGGCATGGATCCTTTCCATCAGCTGTAAGAAGTACCACTATACCAGTCACCAAGAAAAACTTTACAAAGAGGTGAGAAGATCTGTAAGGGGTTGAAGAGTTGCACGGCTAAATGTGACCATGGCTGTTGGTCACTTAGGTACCACAAGTAGAGCGTAGGCATGACTAATCTTAATGCTAATGTTAAAGCAGCATCATCAACCAAAATGAAACAGACCTGTAACAAAGTACGGAAAATTATCACAGACATGAATAAAATATAATGAAAAAAATAATGCAGAAAATTTAAGAACTTATTGATTCCGAAATCTTTGACAAGACTGTAGCTCTACTGGTTTATAATTATAATGAAGGAAGAGAAAAGTAGCTTGAAACTTTGCAACAGCAATAAATGAAAAATTGATTATTTGTTTAGTCATTTTCTTGGCAAAAATTATTGAAATCAAACTAAAACTGTAGGAGGAGTAGCATTTTGAAAATATTTCAAAGAAATTTCTCTTTTAAGTAACCATGGCAACAACATTCTTCGAAATCAAAAACCAATATTAAGAATCAAGTATCTTAGTATAGTTTACTTGTGTGCCAAGTTATATTGAAATAAGACCAAAAATATAGGAAGAGTAGCATTTTAAAAATATTTCAAAGAAATTTCTGTTTAAAGTTACCATGGCAACACCATTCATTGAAATCAAAAACAGAATTATGTATCTTAGTGTAGTCTACTTGTGTGCCAAGTTATTACTGAAATCAGACCAAAACTGTAGGAGGAGTAGCATTTTGAAAATTTGTTTACAGACAGACAAACGGACGATGGACACCTTGGGAGAAAAGCACACACCTGAGAAACTATTGCATAAGCTCATTCTAGTCTTAAGACCAAAATGTAGAGCTAGAAAATCACCACCCTCCACTGTCATACATTTCACCACTGATTGCCACTGCTGCATCTGATCAGAGCAAAGGGAGATGTATTTCTTTGACCTATATAACAATAACAATAGTAACATTTTATGTTTCCGGGAAGATACTGTATAAGAAATTTTCTTGAGGATTTAATTTTTGCATTATTAGCGAGGCTGTTGAGATTGCTAAAATTGAATATTGCTAAAAATAAATTGTGAGTTCCTTGTACTATCTTCTATAGTGAGCATTTTGAAATCGCTAAAATTACTTCTCGCTAAAAAAAAATAAAATACCAGTTTTTAATGAGAAATTACTAAATTTGTGTCTGGCTAAAATTTCCACTTATACGGTAATCCATGCAGAGAACATTTGTATTGGACATGAAGGTTCAATAAAGGACAGAGTACAAGAATTGCTACAAACACTACTCTGGAGACTTACCTTTGATGAAGCATGCTATATGTCTACTGCTGTTGGTTCTACTGTAAGCTGCAGCTACCAAGGACAATTTGGATAATGTCAGCTTAATCTTTAATCTGTGGTGGACTCACTGGACTGAAAGCATTAATATTAAGTGAAAATCTTTGGTATTTTCAAGTGACTTTGAATTAAACATAATACAGAAGAAGGCAAATGTTTGTTAAAAGACTAACAAATTAGACTTTAGGACCATGATGTAATATTGATAGAGTTTATAACCATCTTTATTACTTGTTCATAAAAATCTGAATCAGTCTGTGAATATTTAAACATTTAAAATCAAATCCAAAATGTATTACAAGTATTGAAATTTTTAAGTAGAATACATAAAGTTGTGCACTCACTATTAAATTAGGGGTCCTGGAACCTCAATATTGGAAATATACAATGTAAACTGCAGGGGCACCTGTTGTAAAAGGATCAAAGGAGAATGGTCCATCATCTAAAACAACAACAAAATAGGCAATATAATCTTGAAATGAAACAAAAGCTGTAAAAATATAAATCTGAAAGGAAATATAATGCAGATCTAAAAATATATAGATCTAAAAGATATCAGCTGTACAATAAAAAAAATCTAAACAATTACAGTAAATTACTAACATACCGTAAATCTGGAAAGTTTTGCTGTAGATGAATTTTTAGCAAATTTGCGAGTTCACTGTATTCGCAAAAATATTTTTCTAAAAAATAATTCAACAATAAGAAAATGTAAACAAAGTAGTGATCATTTGCAAAATTTTGAAACGTAAAAATTAATCAATAGCATTTTGACCCAGATTCGCAAAATAAAATCGACGTAAAAATTTCCAGATTTACGGTATTCATATATAAAAAGATGTGTTTGTGAGACACTATGGATGGTAACACGATTCGTGAGTGGGATGGAGACTGAAGTGGTATATACACTTGTTAGATGTTTTAAGGGTAGCAAGGTCACAGCTGAGGTCACATGATTAAAAAAATTCTGTACCAAAGGAAAGGTCTTGTCATAATGTACACTCATGTTAAATATTAAAGCCTAGCTTACAGTTCAAAACAGACACTGACAAACAGACAGACATGACTAAAACAATATACCACAGGGATCTTTTGATGTGTGGGGGCATAAAAAGGAATTTGGAAGAAATGTGAAAAAAGGGTGGGCATTAACTCAATTTCAGATGCTGTGTATTTAACTGTATGAAAATTGAAATCATACATATTATTTTTTAATTATCTAGATAGCTTTCTTGAACTAATTGTTGCTATGTTTTATTATGAATGCACTAATTCTATTCAACTGTGTATAAATGGGGAAAATTAAGGTGGGCATGTAAAAATGATTAATAGTTGTATGAGTAAAATGTGACATTTTTGTTATATAGGGGAAATTCTGTGCATGTAAATATGTTCTTCTTTTTTATTTAACACATTAAAATTATTTAACTTAATTACCTTGTTTTTTTTACCTGTCTGATGAACACAACAAAGGTTAGAGAGGTAATTAGTTGAAATACAGGTCTACGGGTGATGTCGGGTGTCAAAATTCTCTGTTGATGACCAGACTGCATTTGACATTGTCTGTTTGCCATTCATGATCTTTAACAGGGGGTACTATACTCCTAAAATCAGAGAAATTGTTGTTAAAAAGAGAATAAAAGGTGTTACTCTTTAGGTCTCACACAAGGGTTTAATATCGCTATTTGTTACTATGTAGCTTTAACAAAGTGATGAATTAGATTCTGATCAGCAATAAATCATAATAAAAGAAAATAAAGATTAATATTCAAAGATAAAATTTGTGATAAAAAAATAAAAATAAGACAAAAATGGACAGTAAAACATACCTTCCCCAAAATAGATGTGGGTTTGAAACATGTTGATAAATGGACTACACACCATCTAGGAAGTTGCATCATGCACACCTAAAAACATAGGTAATCAAAGATTACGAAGCTCACCTCGACAAATATAATCAGTCTAAGTAATGCAAATCTCATATCATATTTTCTTAGGAGATAACATTTTTTCTGACTTTTAATAAATTATAAATTTAAAACATAGATGCACTTCATACCTGAAAATCAATTTTGTCTCTTTGAAGGTTTCCTAAGTACTGTAGCTGCAATTATCAGTTCAAACTTCTAGTCCTTCAAAATCCAATATATTTCATAATCTACAGGAATTCATTGCATGCAGTTTCAGTAGCAGATATTTACCAATAAATTAAGGTCAATTCCTTTAGAATCCAATTTAATAACTTTGCTGAGAATCATTTAACCTATTTAATCAGAGAAATAAGTACAATTCTGACCATAATCACCCTGTATCCTGACTAGACAAATCACAAAGGAATGTCTGACTAGAATCACCAATGTAAATCTGTCACATCAATCTTTATCCATCAGGTCAAAGCATTATGTCCAGCTAAGAATCACCACTGAAATGTCACACCCATCACTTGAATGTTCATCAAAACAGGTGAAGTACTGTCCAGCTAGGAATCACCACTGAAATGTCACATGCATCTCGTGAATGTTTATCCAATCAGATCAAAGCATTGTCCAGCTAAGAATCACCACTAAAATGTCACATGCATCTCGTAAATGTTTAACCAATCAGATCAAAGCATTGTCCTACTAGAATCACTACAGAAATTTCATATCCATCACTTGAATGCTTATCCAATCAGATCACAGCACTGTCCAGCGAAGAATCACCACTGAAATGTCACATCCATCACTTGAATGTTTATCCAATCAGATCACAGCACTGTCAAGCTTAAAATCACCCCTGAAATGTCACATTCATCAACTGAATGTTTAACCAATCAGATCACAGCAATGTCAAGCTTAAAATCACCTCTGAAATGACTCACATCCATCACTTGAATGTTTATCCAATCAGATCACAGCACTGTCAAGCTTAAAATCACCCCTGAAATGTCACATTCATCAACTGAATGTTTAACCAATCAGATCACAGCAATGTCAAACTTAAAATCACCACTGAAATGGAAAGTTGAAAATCTGAAGATTGGCCACATCCAAAGAGAGTAGAAATGTCTCCCAGCAAATTTTCATGTACATTCCAAAAAACCAACAAATGAGCCCAGAACTTTACTGCTATGTGTAACTCTGCAGTCCATTGGTCCATGCAAAGCAGTGGAAATTCTAAGGATATCCTGGGAGAGAAAGAAGGTCTGAATTAGTTTATGAAGATTTTGTTTCCTTTCAAACAAAATGGCAATTGCATGAAATCAAAGTGTACATTGAAAAAATTCGGTGATCTATGTAGTCAGAGTAAATAAAAGAAATGACATGTAAACAAGTAACCTATAAGCCAGGACATGAAGACTACACTGCAACCTTTCCTCCACCAGAGACCATCATTAGAGATGAAGAGGTGGACTGCAAAGAGTATTGGAAAGTTGCTGGTAACTAAGTGAGGACTGTCCTTTAGGCTTTAGCCATTTCACCAGTGATGGAGATAGTGCCACAACATCCAGAGCATCTGAAAGACATAAGAACATGTCCATTATGAAAATCCCAAAGACTTCAATTGTTTCTTTTGCTAAAAAAATGAAGATTGAAGAAAGACTGTTAATTAAGATCCATTCAGCAGTCATATTTTGTTTCAGAAGAACCAATATATTAGCCATAAGATAATTAATGCACATTATTTGACTTCCACCCAAAACTTTTGTGCAAAACACTGCGTATGAAAATTGCTTCTAACATTTCATTAAAACCTCATCTTTCGTGGAGCGTACAGGTTTGTTGCTGTTGGTTCCATTGTTAGCTGCTACCAGGGATAGGGCAAGGAGTCCTGTCATCTTCATTCCTCTTCCTGAAGTAAAGTGAAAAGCAATAAGTAGAAATCTTAAGTAAACCAATATCCAGTGATTGTCCTGAAGTTTGAATACAATTTATGTATACGTACAGTGTCTTTGATAGAGTGTACATGGTTTATTGCTGTTGGTTCCATTGTCAGCTGCTACCAGGGAAAGGGCAAGAATCCCTGTCATCTTCATTCCTCTTAATTATGTCACTGAATCTCATATTCTTCCTTAATCTCTTCATTATCTCAATGCCTAAATCTTATCCTCTTCCTTAATCCTCTAATTTCGTCGATGACTATTTTTTATAAGTGTCCTTAATCTTATTTATTACGCCAATGAATAATTCTCAATCTGTTCCAAAACCCTCTTAATTTCATCCTTGACAAAAATCTTCTTTCTCAATTCCCTTAATAATGTCAATATCTAATTGTCGTTCTCATCTTTAACTCTTTATTACCCCCAGAACTAATTTTTATCCTCTTCCATAACTCTCATTAATGCTCATTGACTTATTCTTATCCTTTTCCATAAATCTCTTTATTCTGTTACTGACTTACATGTATTACGTCAATGACTTATTCTCATCCTCTTCGCTAACCCTCTTAATTATGCCAAACACTTTTTCTCATAACTAATTCCTATTCTCTTCTGTTACCCCCTTAATTTTCTAGGACCCTCTTAATAACTTCAATGACTAATTCTTATCATCTTCCATATTCCTCTTAATTATGTGAATGACTAATTTTCATCCTCTTCTGCTACCATCTTTATTACCTCAATAACTAATTCTTATCCTCTTCCTTATCCCTCTTTATCACGTCAATAACTTATTCTCATCCTCTTCCTTAACCTTCTCAATAATATCAATAACAAGTTCTTAACCTCATCCTTCACTCTCTTAATTATGACAATGACTAATTCTCATCCTCTTACTTGACCCTCTTTATTATGTGATTGACTCTCATACCTTTCCTAAACCTCTTTATTATCTCAATACCTAAATCTTATCCTCTTCTTTAACCCTCTTAATTACGTCAATAACTTAATATTCTTATCCTCTTCTTAATCCTTCTTCCTACATGTAATGTCATTGACTAATTCTAATTCTTTTTCTAAAGGCTTTTAATTACTTCAATGAGTATTTCTTATCCTTGTCCTTAACCATCTTAATTATGTTAATGACTAATTCTCAATCTGTTTCAAAACCCTCTTAATTGCGTCATTGACTAATTCTCATCTTCTTTCTTAATAATGTCAATATCTAATCGTCATCCTAATCTCCAACTCTCTTAATTACCTACATAATTAATTCTTATCCTCTTCCATAACCCTCATAAATGCTTATGATTAATTCTTATCCTCTTCCAAAAATCTCTTTATTATGTCACTGACGTATTACGTCAAAGACTAATTCTCATCTTCTTGGCTATTACCCTCTAGATCATGACAATGACTAATTTTAATCCTCGTCCTCATCATCAACCCTCATGATTACGTCAATAACTAATTCTTATCCTCTTCCATTACACTCTTAACTGCATCAATGACTAATTCTTCTCCTATTCCTTAAGCCTCTTAATTATGTCTTTGGCTAGTTCTCATCTTCTTTCTAAAGTCTCTTAATTATGTCACTGACTTTCATCCTCTTTCTTCACTCTCTTGATTATGTCACTGACTTTCTCTTTTTATTCTTTAACACAACTAATAACATCAATCACTGGTAGTCATTCTCTTAAAATCTCTCTTTATTACCTTAATGACTAATTCGTGTCTTTTTCTGTAACCCTCTTAATTACTTCAATGACTTATTCTCATCGTCTTTCTTGACCCTATTAAACATGTTAATAGCTCATTCAAATCCTCTTCCTTTTCCCTCTCTTATACATTAATATTAATTCTAATCATCTTCCTTAACCCTCAGAGTTGGTTAATGACTAATTCTTATCCTCTTCTTTAAACCTCCTTAATATGTTACCGATTAATTATGTCACTTACTAATTATGTCAATGATTAATTCTTGAACTGTTCCAAAACCCTCTTAATTACGTCCTTGACTAATTTAAGTTCTTTCTTACATTCTCTTAATAAATGACCTTGTATCTAATTCACATTCTCATCTTTAACTCTCTTAATTACCTCTATAACTTATTCTTATCCTCTTCCATAACCCTCATAAATGCTCAATGACTAATTCTTATCCTCTTCCATAAATCTCTCTAATATGTCACTGACTTAATATGTCAATGACTAATTCTCATCCTCTTTACTAACTTTCTGATTTACACCAAAAACTTAGTATAATCCTCTTCTATAACACTCTCTTAAATATGATAATGACTAATTTCATCCTCCTCCTAAACCCTCATGATTACGTCAATAACTAATTCTCATCCTCTTCTGTTACTCTCTTAATTACATCAATGACTAATTCTTATCCTCTTTCTAAAGCCTTTTAATTATGTCACTGACTTTTATCCTCTTCCTTCACTTTCTTAATTAAGTCACTGGCTTTCTTTTTTCATTCCTCAACACTCCTAATTACGTCAATCACTAATTCTATTCTCTTCCTTATCCCTCTTAATTACATCAATGAATAATTCTTATCAACTTATGTTACCCTCTTAATTACCTCAATATCTAATTCTCAATCTGTTCCAAAAAGCCTCTTAACTACGTCCTTGACTAATTCTCATCTTCTTTCTTATTTCTCTTAATAATGTCAATATCTAATTATCATTCTCATCCTTACACTTTAATCATCTTCCTTCACTCTCTTAGTTATGTCAATGACCCTCTCTTTTTATTCCTTAACACTCTTAATTGTACAATTCAATTCTCATTTCTTCCATAACCCTCTTAATTACCTTAAACTTCTTTCCTCTTCTGAAACCCTCTTAATAACATCAATAACTAATTCTCATCTTTTTCCATAACCCTCTTAATAATGTCAATAACTAATTCTTATCCTCTTCCTTACTCCCCTTAATTTTGTTGATGAATAATTTTTATCTTATTCCTTAACCTATCTTAATTAAGTCCTTGACTAATTCTTATCCTTTTCCTTAACCCTCTTAATTATGTCAATGACTTTTCTCTTTTTATTCCTTAAAACTCCTAATTATGTCAATAACGAATTTTCATTGTCTCCCATAACACTCTTAATTACCTCAATGACTAATTCTTATCCTCTTCCATATTCCTCTTAATTATGTCAAAGACTAATTCTCATCCTCATCTGCTACTATCATAACCTCAATAACTAATTCTTATCCTCTTCCTTAACCCTCTTGATGACGTCAAACACTAATTCTCATCCTTTTCCATAACTCTCTTAATTATATCACTGACTCTCCTACTCTCCCTTAAACCTCTTTATTTTCTCAATACCTAAATCTTATCCTCTTCTCTTAACCCTCTTAATTATGTCAATAACTTATACTTATCCTCTTCCTTATCCTTCTTACTTATGTCAATGACAAATTCTTCTTCTCTTCCAAGAGGCTTTTAATTAGGCCAATGATTATTTCGTATCCTTAAACTTAAGCATCTTAATGATGTTAATCCTCTTAAATATGTCCTGGACAAATTCTAGTCTTCTTTCTTAATTCTATGTCAATATCTAATTGTCATTCTCATCCTAACATCTCTTAATTACCTCCATAACTAATTCTCATCCTCTTTCTCTGTCTTCTTAATAATATCAATAACTAAATCTTCCTCACTACTTTAATCATGTTAATGATTAATTCTCTGACTTATTATGTCAATGACTAATTTTCATCCTCTTCGTTAACCCTCTTCATTACACCAAAAACTTATTCTCATCCTCTTTCATAACCTTCTAAATTATGACAATGACTAAATCTTATATGTAAATGTCATTCCTGTCTCTTAAAACTCTCAGATAACCTCCATAACTCTTCATGCTGTCTCTGTAGATAAAACTCCATAGTTCTTAATCCTTCCTCTGTAGATAAAACTCTGTACCTCTTAATCCTGTCTCTGTAGGTTGATTGATTGATTGTATACTGTTTAACGTCCCTCTCCAGAATATATAACAGATATGAAGACTTCACCATTGCTGATGAAGGGCTGCAAATTTTCCTCAGCACTTACGATAAACCTCTGTACGTCTTAATCCTGTCTCATTAGATAAAACCCGGTATCTCTTAATCCTGTTTCTGTAAATAAAACTCTGTAGCTCTTCATCCTCTCTCTGTAGATAAATCTCCATAGCTCTTAATCCTGTCTCTATAACAAAAACTCAGTTGGTCTTAATCCTGTTGCAGTAAATAAAATTCAATACCTCTAAATCCAATCTCTGTAGATAAAACTCTGTGTCTATTAATCCTATGTTTTTAAATAAAAGTTCATAGCTTTTAATCCTGTCTCTGTAGATATATCTCCATAGCTCCTAATCCTGTCTTAGTTGCTAAAACTATGTAGCACAAACTCCTCTTGCAGTAAATAAAACTCCGTAGTTCTTAATCCAGTCTCCAGACATAAAGCTCCGTACCTCTTAATGCTGTCTCTGTATATAAAACTCTGTATTTCTTAATCCTGTCTCTGACTCAAACTCCTCTTGCAGTAAATAAAAGTCTGTAGCTCTTAATACTCTCTCTGTAGATAATACTCCGTAGCTTTTCATCCTGTGTGTGTAGATAAAACTCTGTACCTCTTAATCCTGTGTGTTTACATAAAACTCCTTAGTTCTTAATCCTGTCTCTGTAGATAAAACTCTGTAGCTCTTAATCCTGTCTCCGTAGATAAATCTCTATATCTCTTAATCCTCTCTTTGTACATAAACATCTGTATCTATTAATCCTATGTGTGTAAATAAAAGTCCGTAGCTCTTAATCCTGTCTCTGTAGATAAAACTCTGTACCTCTTAATCCTGTCTCTGTAGATAAAACTCTGTAGTTCTTAATCCTGTCTCTGTAGATAAAACTCTGTACCTCTTAATCCTGTCTCTGTTGATAAAACTCCGTAGCTCTTAATCCTGTCTCTGTAGATAAAACTCCATAGCTCTTAATCCTGTCTCAGTAGATAAAACTCCATACCTCTTAATCCTGTGTGTTTACATAAAACTCCTTAGTTCTTAATCCTGTCTCTGTATATAAAGCTCCGTACCTCTGAATCCTGTCTCTGTAGATCCAAATCCTGTCTCTGTAGGTAAAACTCTGTAGCTCTTAA